GATCCCGCTGTGCAGTGGTAAATCCAGGCTTACGGGGGGTAGCAAGCTTGTACGGTGCTGGTCATAGGAGGACGGCCTAGATTCCCGAGCTCGGGAAGTTTTTGGTCTGGATCCCGCTCTGCAGTGGTAAATTTAGGCTTACGGGGGGTAGCAAGCTTGTACGGTGCTGGTCATAGGAGGACGGCCTAGATTCCCGAGTAAGAGCGAGTGGGCGAGATGCTGCAAGAATCAAAGAGCTTCTGGGCGCCGCCCCGGCAGGGGTCGGCGGATAATCGAACATGCATACTTGCACAGACAGACAGACAGACAGGCAGTCGTACACACCTGGACACGCGTTCACGCACACGTACACGCACACATGCACGAACGCAAACACATTCAGGTACGTATACAGTCCTACATGCTCACATACACACATGCATGCGCACATGCATACACACATGCATACACGCATGCATGCGCACCTGCGCATGTGCACATGCGCCGATGTGCTTGTACATTTTCACACTTCCGTGTGCTGTAGGGGTGTAGACGACATTTACGTATGTACGCACATAGGAGCGAATGATTGCATTATAATTGGTAAGCTTCAATGCAACATAATCTTAAGCATACAGCCAAGCAATGGATGAGTAAGTCCTCTCACTTTCTCTATGTATACATGTATGTAAATATGTATATACATATGCACCTCTCTCTGTCTCTATATGTGTTATGTTTGCATACACATATATGCAAAAGTTTTGTGCATAAACCATGAGATGAGATTAGACAACAGAAAAGCCCAGGACAGAGCTTGTGCTAGTTGGCCGTATGTCGTAGAGTGTCTTGTAGTAGAGCAAAGTATGGGCCGTACAGTTACAGCAGGGCCTAATACAGCATTATATTCTAGAATATGGAACACATTACAGTGTAATATAATCCACTATAGCTGTTTACGCCATTTTCGCAGGCTAGTATGGCATAGTATAGAGAAGTAGAGGTATAGTTGCGCATAGTCTAGTTGAGTATAGTATAGCATGGTACAGTATAGCATAGTTTAGTCTCGTATAGTATAGTACATAGTACACTATGGGGTCAACCACTGCAGTATATCACAACATAGCATTCTCATGTTTCATATAGTAATTTTGATGCTACGCGGTCCGCTTCGACTTGCCGGAGAATGCCCAGCGCAGGGGGGAGATGAGGGGGGGGCGTCTGGCGGCCCTGTTTGCATTCTCCATAGTATTTACAGCAATGGCACGATGGCATACTTGTATATTATTCCTTTGGCTATTTACTCTCACGTGGTTCAAGACACCATAGCTCTCTCTCTCCCTCTCCCTCTCTCTCTCTCTCTCTCTCTCTTTGCGTAGCAGCAAAAAGAGCATGCTGTCCGTGCAAGAGCCAGTCAATAGGTCGTTCGGGCTTCACTATACCGAGATCCTTCCTCTGAAGGGGGGCTACGTATCTGGGGGCAGGTTTCTGGTGCGGAGCCGGTGTTGGGCTTGTCCCCTCGCCTAGCAGTCATACTCGTCGACTGACAAAATGCCCCGACATCTCGACATCACGCCGAAATTAACATCTGCTTATGATGGCACGGAACCATTTCGTGGTTCGAGTATGAGCAGCTCATCAACGATTGGTGCGACATTACCACGCTGGACGAAGATAAGAGAGGACCGTCTCTCAAGACGAGGCTCACCGGCATAGCGACGGTGCAGAAAGAAGCACTGGATCGTAAAAGCTTGCTGGCAAAGGTGTAATCGAGCACTTCAAGAAGAAGATGCGACCGTTCTGTGTCACGCATGTCTTCCTCTCGAGTTGTCTCGGTCTCTTCAATCAAGGCGTGGAAGGGCAACGAAGATTTGTCACTTGGATTGCCAAATATTGCCATGTTTGGGATCGTCCTGCAACGAGTCTGCAACTCATGGATGGACCTTCTCCCGGAGGTACATCGGGAAGACAACCGTTCTGATTTCGCGGCTGCCCTCAGGCAGTGTGCAACCTTCCTCGCCGTCAGACCATGCTCGACCAACTTGCAGCAACAAGAACAGGTCTGCAGGACCCCAAAATTCGGCATTTTTCGCACAACCAGGACGAAGAGATAACCGTCGCAGACGCGCAAGCGGTAATCAAGGAAAATTCGACGGAGCAGAAGGCTATTGGCTCCAAGACGAGGATACCCTCGAAGAAGGGTTCCTCGCTCTCGAGGATGAATCCGTGTTATGGGTGATGGATGAGTACAAGGCCTTCGCTGCAAGGAGATTCAAGCGCGGCAATCACCCACGAATGCGTCCCGGATCTCGAGAAGAGCAAAGGGTGGAAAGCTAAGATCAAGAGGCCGCTGCCGGCCTTATCGCCCCAAAGGGAGAGCCAACGAGGCAGAACTCCAAGATCCATCCGATCCCAGTTGCTGCAGCAAAACAAAAGGAAACAAAGGTGGCAACAGCGAAGGAAAGGGGGGGGACAAAGGAGACAACGAGCAAAGAAAGGAAAAGGAAGGGATTGGACCAAAGCAGCATCTTCCACAGGGGATTCAGCGTGTCAAACTCCTAAGAGAGTTACACTTCCCTGATACCGGTCAACGCAGGTCAGGAAGAAGAGCTTGAGCCGGAAACTGCCACTGCAGTATTTCCCTTACAGCATACCGTGCTGTCGGCTCTTACGGAAGGTGTCAGTCTTGACCGGAACCCAACTTAGGGCTCCTGCTGTGCAGTCAATCGACTGATCGAAGCGGTTGAGCAGTACGCTCCTGGCAATGAGGAGGTCCTTCTGCGAAGAAGGAGACCAAGTGTGCATTGAAGCCCAAAACTCCTGTCAAGACCGGTTTGTGGAGCTGACAAGGGCTCCAGTATCGGACCACCTGGGTCAAGTGAACAGCCGGCTCCAGAACCATGTTCTCGTCTAGGGATGGAGTACGTTTGGAGGAGCGATCTGCCACGGCAGAAACTCCTTCACTTGTTCGCTCCGAAGAATCCATGAAAAGCTCAAGGACATGAACCCTGAGCAATTCAAGCGAAAGAGCCCTTCAGACACCAAAGGAGATCTATGATCTCTATTCTCTATGACCAGGTGTTCAAGAAATGTGCTATTCGCCAAGAGCACAGAAGAGCTCCATCCAAGGCCAAGATATCTGGACTTCGTTCAGAGGTCTTTGGTTATCTCGCCTTCGCAGATCATGGAGAGTGGCCAATTCCGGGCAAGGCAGAAAGCTCATGTTAATGATCTTGTATGATAGAGCAGCCAATCTTGTTACTGCCGAGTTTGTCCAGGACAAGGAAGAACCCATGCCAATGTCACTCATGACAGAACTAATTGAAAAGTATCAGATTACTCCCCGGGTACCACCTCAAGCTCAAGCCCCAGGCCATTCATGAAGGCTACGACTACGCGAGCCCTGCAATGCTATTGCCACGAAATATGAAATATGGCATACTTGTTCGGCAACCTTGTCTGGCGCAAAACTCCTCAGCCACTGGCTTATGGCGGAGTAACACCACTCGAACTGGACGTCATTACGCCAGAGAATTCTGAATTCTGAGCCAAGCCAACTAACTGGCAATCCCACAGACGCGGAGGTCACCGCAAGAGCCGTCCGAGAATTCGCCCGCAAAGCTTGCCAGGAAGCTAGGCAATCCGATGATCTCAGACGAGATCTTGCGGCCCATCTCAACATGCCAGAAAAACCGTTCCTTCTTGGTGAGAAGGTGTACTACAGAAGATTGGTTCCACAGGCTCTCGACACGGAGCGTTTGTCAAGGGAAGGGGGGAGGGCGGAGTGAAGGGGTCAAACTGGACTTTCGGGCTGTAGGGAGGAGGCATTAGGCATCAGGTACTGAGTTATAATCCCCAAGACGCCTGAGGCCTGTCGCCTCGACGCATATGGTATGGCATGCTATGGCATGGTATGGTATGGTCTGGTACGGTGTAGCAATGTATCATGGTCTGATGAAGCCCAAGCAGCGTGGTGCACACTGGGGTTCCGACGTTCTGTGTAAAGAGAATCGGTTGGTGAGGCCGCGCAGCGTACAAGGCGTTGGTGCTCACACTCTGTTTTTTCACAGGATTTGTACGGCCTCGTGGCATGAAGAGCCAAGATTCATTGATTCCGTGCATGGGCTGCTTCTCGTTGGAAAAGCTGGACTCGGCGCCAATGCGTGGGGCAAGCCATATGGTCCGTCCTCCCACATAATATGGGGGGAAGTATAGGTGCCGTGTTTCTGAATCTTGCGAGTTCTTGTTCTTGCGGGAAAGCATTTTGCTGTCCTGCTCCTGAATCCATCAGTTCTTGGCGGAAATGTTTTTGGCAATGGGCCATGTCCTCAATCCCACCAGTACCTGTGAAAAGCATTTGGCGCCTCTTCCTGAATCCACTTGTTCTTCGGGGAAAGCATTTGGCCGTGATCCTGAACCAGCTTGCGTTTCGTAGAAGGCATCCTGGCCGTGCTCCTGAATCGCACCAGTAGGTTTCTCGTGATCTCTGGTCGTCTTTGGTTCTCCTGCTGGTCTCCTCGCATATGTGACATGACACGACATGACAGGTGTAGGGCACGGTAGGGCAGGGATATCATGGCAGGACATGACGTTGCACGACATGATATGACATGGCATGACATTGCGCTACGCGACGAGGCAAAATAAATCGCAACACAACAACAAAACGCAGCATATCCTGACATAACATGTTAAACATGCATACATACGGTATGTACCTACCTACGTACATTCACATGTAGACACATATACAGACACATGCATGAGGGCATGCATGCATACATGCACACGCACTTACGTGCGTACATAAACATAGGCTGACACAATGCACATTGTGTGTTTTGAACCACGTACAGATACACTCAATGATTGGAGCTGGCAATATTTTGCCTTTCCAGAGTCCTCATCGTGCGTGAATGAGTTGGAGACGGTACGAGTGTTGGCTGTATACCGATCTCTTGCAATGACCCTTACGCCTTTCGCATTCTTCGCTTCGTCGCCGTGCAGCAATTCCGCGTGAGGCAAAGCAAGCCAGAACAAACGAGATCCTCGAGGAGGGCCGCCACTACTTCATGTTTGGGAGTGCCACTGTCAACAGCTTGAGGAAAAGGCTCTCCGTGAAGCCACGGAGGCAGCGATCAGCATGCAGAAGCGTCAAAATTTGGCGCGGCAGCTCAGAGCACACGAGCTCTGGCCCACGGTGCAGAGTGGGGACCGGCCAGTCAGAAGACAATCATCCCGCGAGTTTTTAGAATCCGGAAGCCCTAGCAGACAAGAATCGGGCCTAAGGCTGCCATGGCACGGAATGCTTCGACCCCGGTGCCTCGGCGAAGATCAAGGCACTTGCGAGGCAGAGGTAGTGCGGCGTACGGGTTCACAGCCATCGAATCCATCTGAGTTGTTGTAACTAAGGAAATGTCGGAGGCAGGCTCTTCACTCGGACACACTTCCATGACCCATAGCTGCAAGCGAATGTGCTTCCGGCAGGATCTCGACAGAAAGAGAACCCGCCTGGCATGCAAGATGGACATCTTGGACTTCTTCCGAGGGTGCGCTGCTGATCAAGAGGGAAGCCAATCCAGGGTTTCTGGCTGGGCCAGTGTTTTCCTGGCCCCGCGTTTTTTACAAGAGCCCTCTGGCCCTCATCTGCCTTGTGTGAATTATGCGGGAGGATAAGAGAGGCACAGGAAAACTTGGATCCAGGCAGATGATTGAAAGCTATCCGGTCTCCTCTCGACCTCGAGCAAGGGGAACAATCCTCGGTGGTGCAATTTCTAGAAGAGTCAGACTTTGTGTCAGGTACCGGAAGGCCGTGCACAAACTCACAGCAGATCAGCAAAAGGTTCCTGACTGCCAAAGAGGTAGTTTGTGCTCTCCTCTGACTGTTTGGCTCTGGACAGGTCCTGCAGGCCAACCTTCATGGTAGCGCTCTTGCACAGGCCTTCCATTGCTTTGTGATGCTGAAACGGTGAGCAGCTCTTGACCGCAGCAGTGATGGAAGCGTGCTGACTACTTGGCCCAGCTCTGGTGCGCATAGATTCAAGACCCGGTCGGGGAGCAGAGTTTGTCTTTCCAGACGGCATCAGACAATGCACGTCGCTAGCCCGCAAACACTGTGCAACAGGTGTTAAGGGATTGACGCACAGCAGCTCTTCTCGAGTCCGATTCTCATACATCAAGCCTTAGCTTATTTCGTTTGGCACCAGTGCAGAGCCAACTCGGTGGCCATGGCGACCACCGACAAATATGACCGGCAGCTCCGGCTTTGGGGTGCCGCAGCTTCGCGAGCGTCAAAAGGAAGCAAAGCTGAAGCGTTCTTAGACAGGTGCACATGGACAGCGGGCGCTGATGGATGCCAAGGTGCCTGTTGAGACTCAGACGTCACACCCCGCTCAGTGCGCTGCATCTGCTTCCTGTTTATGACCCATGACCAGCAAAGCTATGCAGCAGGAAAGTGAATATATCCTGCCGACGAGTCTCGAACGAGCATCCCTTCCACACACTCACCCTTGCGCGCGCAATACCTTGGTTTCCACTCTCGGGCCATGAGCAACCTGCATCCTATCTGAAGAAGTGCTGGTGCAAGTCCTTGTTGGGCTGTAGGTTTGCATGCTTGGCTCCTCCGCAATTGCCACGGAGTCCCTCAAGAACTTGGTGCTGCCAGGCATTGATGCTGCGTACGTCAATTCTGAGTGGAGTCACGAGCTGTCGAGGCATCGGTCAGTTCACCATTGTGGACAATGCAAAGGTAGAGGCCCAGACTCAGTGCACTTCTGCTGAAGAGCAGTCGGCACCCTGACCTTGCTATTGAGATCCGGGCCATGTGGCCTTGTTGTCAATGTCGACTCGTGACAGGCTGCAGACCTTGGGCACAATTTCTTTTTGGAGGCGTCAGTGAAGCTCTGGTTCTCTCGTCTAGAGTCTAGAGTAGGCTCGGAAATCTCAACTTTGCAACAGGAGGCCGATCTGGGCAAACTCCGTTCCGAGGCTCCTGCTCACCTCGGGGATGCAGGATGCTTGCATAGAAGAGGGATCATGCTGCGTCATACTCATAGAGCTTGGAAGTATCTCAAACAGAGATCACAAGTCTTTCTACTAGAGGTAACGCCGACTTGAGGCGGCCTGCAAGTGGCTTCTCGAGATGAATCCCGATGTTCAGGGGCATCTTCCTCACAAGCTTCAGTTGCAGCTCGCAAGACCTGCGCAGACCTGCGCTTCCCTTGCTAAGGGCTCATGTCGATCAAGATCCAGCAAAGGCTGTGGCGCAAGGAAAGGAATTCTTTCGGTACGGAGCTCGTCGAAGCGGGTCAGAAAGGGAGGGCCGCTCCAGAATGAGAGTGGCAGAGTGGCAGAGTGGCAGAGGCACTTCTCGCTGGTCATCGCCTGCCAAGTGACAGAGCTCGTGGCAGCTCAGCTTGGAAGGCTCTGCGAGGCGGCGAGACAGAGACCTTCGCAGGCAATGCCCATGCTTTCAGCTTGGACAGGAGCTGCAGATCCCGCTGGTTCTCATCACCTCCCTGGGATTTGTAGGCTCGCTGGGCGTGAGTGAGCGCAGGAGTTGCATGGAATCAGTCAAGCACAGGAAAGATTCGCTTGTTTGTGACCGAGCACTGTGTCTGCGAGACCAAACCGGACTCCGAGTGCCTCACCGCAAACGTTACGAATGGGTCCTCCACTTGCAGAGACACACAGATCCAGATGCAGCAAGCATAAATATGAACATCATGTCTGAAGTTGTTTATGCATGCCAGGTTTGGTGATCTGCGTCTCACTGATCCATTTCCAGAGCTCAGGAGGCCTGCACGCCTCCGCGTGTCCAGAATGGTACACACCAACCGCCAGGTTTGCCAAACCGTCTGGTGTCGTGCTGTTTGCAAAGCATTGTGTGCACCTTGTTTTTACGTTTTTGCATGGCCAGAGAGCCTTGCGATAAGTCAAGGCATTCCACGTCCAGGCCGCTGGTTCACCCGGTGTGCAAATAACCCTTATCTTCAACAGTGCTCTTGGTAACGACACCTTAACTTGAAATCCTGGTTCTAGCCAGTCGCAGCGGTTTGAAGATGCTTCTGTTGTCGGGCATCACGGTGTCACAGCGGGAGTCGGTCGGAAGTCGTCCGAGTTCAAGAAAGACAGAGAGCTGTCGCAACGTGGTTTCGTTCACCGGAGGTGGAGAAGTGAGTGGGGAGTTTGGTCAAGCGGTGGGAGCAGAGCGAAGAGTGCGGTGCAAGCAGCGCAGGATCAGGCCTCCTGCTTCCGACAGTGTTGAGAGAAGAACGTGCCGTAACCAGCACGAAGCCTTGGACACGACCTATTCAACATTCAATGTATATTCATTGTTCATGAAAATTTCTCTCGAAGTGTGGCTGTTCAAAACCTGCTGCTTAACGCTCCGCAGCTGATGGAACGTCGGCGCGGCGAACCAAGAAGTCATTTGAGCCAGGAAGCTGCCGTTGAAATCTGTCGGCCGTTGGTCGTTGAAGCCGTTGAAGCAGACTTGGTCATGCGGTGGAGTGACAGGCTTGGAATTGTACTGCTTGGATGTTGTTCAGGTTTGCCGACTCGATTGACTTTGCCCAGACCTGAGAAGCTTTCACCTGGGAAGTTGCGCAACTCCAATGTCTTGAATCAGATGAACGAAGGCTAGCTTGAATGACACCGAGCATGCCCATGTGCCTACAACTCAGCATGCTCTTCTGCAACTAGGCAACTTCGTTCCCCTGTGCGGCACTGTAGGCCATATGTTGTTATTCTCATCCGAGCGCTTGACTCATGGAGGACGGCAGCTTCTTGGACCGTGTTCATGACTTGCAAACTTTGTGCGAGCCGGCAGTCCGCAGGAAACGATCTGAGGGCAGGACGTTGCCCAAAACTTCTCCGGAGAAGGCATCTGAACTGACGAAGACCATCCTCGATAGCAGCCACGGCAGAGCAGGGAGGGAGCGCACCCCTGGCCCGAGGACGAATTCAAAGACATTGCACCGGCCCAAGATCCAAAAAGCTCGGAGCACGTCGTATTCCTTTCGAGATCGCAAAGGCCTCCGTAAACTCGGCAGGTGTTGAAGATGAGGCGCAGTCAACAAGAGGTCAACTTTGACGAGGCGGTGCTTTCACGACGCTCACTCGTCCAGAATCCAAATTCACCGCAATAGATGGACCGTATTGTAAGGCTCTCGCGAATGCGTACAAGGTACCGCTTTCTGGCATGTGCATGTATGGTGGCTGTGCACATGAGATTCTATGCAACGGCCCGAAACAGTTGTCATGCAGGCTTGGATGCCCTACGTGATTCCAGATGCCGCGCAGCAGGCCACCCCATTCCATGTTCGACCGGGGACTCATTGAAGCCCAGGCCCCATGCTTGTGCAGGTACATGCTGAACATGCAAAGTTTTGACAGTTCCGGATGCCATGCATGTTTAACGGCACAAACGAAGTTCTCAAAGAGTGCTGCTGGATCTGGAGGACGTACACATACGTACACTCTCTGACTCTCACTCGAGTCTCACAGCCCCATTCGGCTTGACGCGTGAAATGCTTTGCTGTCAAGTTGCGCACAGCACCACCAATCCGACGTCACGATACATCATCCTCACGTATCATCTCCAGTCACAGATGGTGGGCATCACCGATTCTCGCCTTGCACAGACTCTTTCTGCCATGCACGCCACCCAGCCTGATGCACAGCAGCACCGCTCCCCCATGGCCTAGACCGGAAACGTTGGCGGGGACTGCCTGTTCGCATGCTGCTGTGTAGCTCGTGACACGAGCATTGTTGGTAGAAGTCGGCACCCATGCTGCTTTCCAGCTTGACCCGGGTTCGCAGGTCCTGTCACACGTTGCGAACGCCTCGAAGAGCGACTTCTGGATCGTTGCCAGAGCAGTCGCTTGTCGAGATTCAGCATGTTACATAAGCATGGCAGATGCTTTTTCACTTGGTTGTGTGCCTTTGCGCGCTTCCAGGTGTCGCAGTTCGTACGAGACTGTGGAAAGCTACCCCTTGCTGGAAGCCTGCCAGATATGACGGCCTGGTGCTTTGCATTCTTTCGCCGAGCTTTGGCAACTTCGCTGTTTTGCAAGTCTGCGCAGCCAGAGGGAGATGCTCAGCAAAAACAGCTAGCTACGCAGGAGAATAGAAGGACCCGTCTGGATAACTCATGTAGAAAAGGAGGATCCCCAAGTGATTGGAGACCGAGGCCAGTACAGACATGTTCATCAAGCTGCAGGACTTAACACATCTCCGCTTTGTTTGCACATCGGCCTTGCCGCCGTCGCCACACTGTTCATCCAACCTCCTTCATGCTGCATCTCGGTTCAGTCAGAGAGCAGAAACCCCGATATTGACAAACGTGAAGGCTGATGGTGGACATTTCCGCAGGCAATCACCAGCCAAACAACCCACAGCATGTTGTATCAAAAATTACCTAGAGACTGTCTGCATGTCGCTGGGCTACCTTCCGAGGACAGCAACGGGCGGGGAAGCTCAAGCAATTTTCGCATGAAAGCTTTCGTTGACTCTTTCAGGCCCGCCACTCCCTCGCTTGCGTGCCCCGGATGCCTGCTCCGAGACCACACCCTCGTTGAAGGCAGAGTTGCGCCATCGAGTACTGTGTTCGCATTTCCAGGCTTCGAGATGTTGGTGTGATCAGCGCTGAGATGCAGAGGCTCCATGCATCGCAAGTGTCTATGCCTTGAGCCGACAGGTGATGGCACGAGAATCCGAAGATATGGAGCCTGGTCTAGCCAGGCCAGTGCTGGGCTCATCGCCAACCCAGCAAGCTACGCTGAAATTGCACCCTGGCTCTGTGGCTCTGGGACAGGCTGGAAGACTCCGAGGTGCACGTCGAACTTTTCAGGACGCGCGCGGCGGCCTACGTGCACAGGACAGTTCATCTGCTTTCGGCCTTGAGCCGGGAGCCCGGATTGCAGTGCTTCTACCTGTC